GTTTACGGTTTAAGTTTGTGGGCTTGCAGCTTAGGGTTTTTAAGCCTGAAAGGTTTAGAGTTAAGGGGTTCAGGGGTTTTGGCGGAGTTCTTAGGGGCATCTTGAGGGCATTGGTTTCTTGAGGTGTGTTAGAGCTTCGGGTTTAGGGCTTAGGGTTTAAAAGTTTAGGTGTTTCGGGTCTAGGGGGCTTGGGAAGGTCGAAGGTTTCGGGTTATCTAAGTGGCGACCGTTGAGCATCAACCCCAAAGCCGTTCAACCCTAGGCCCGAAACCCTCGATAACTCTGCTCTTTGATTTCTGTTGAAAGGAGCTGGGGTGTAGAGTTGATTTTGGATTCGATCCTTCGGGTTTGGGGTTTAGGCGTGTAAGGCGGGGTGCAGGGAAAAGAAGCACGTCTTGGCATGAGATAACTTGGCATTTGAGCCTATTTAGATGGCGTTCCAGAGAATACCGGACCCTGGCACAAACCATGAACACTAGGATCCACAGTGTTAGGATACTCAAGCAGAAACCCTTGCTTGAACCGGTATGGCAAGCTCTGGCGGTGTGTGTTCGGTCGTTTGTTGTCATGTTTAGAGTATCCAACATCAAATGGGATCTTCCGAAAATTAGGGGTACCTTATTTAGGGGTCCTTATAATAGGGATCCTAGTATTTAGGGTACTATATTAGGGTCCCCTATTTTCGGAAACCCCAAATCTTCTTTGAAGCTGTAAACTGCGGTCGAAGTCTGAACAAAAGCAAGCAAAAGATACCCCAAAGCCTAAACGCTAAACCCGGACACCATTAGGCAGACGGAAGCAGGCGCTCACAATTAAAAACACAAAAAGTACCCGTGGCACCGAGTTTTACATCTCCCCCCCCCAACCCGCCACCTGCTTTCTGAGCTCGTGGGTCGGGTTGTGCTGCCAGGCTCGCCGCATGGCGCCGCAGCCTTACTTCAGGAGGGTTTCGGGTTTAGGGTTCTAGGTTTGAGGGTTTTGGGAGGTGTTAGTAATCATTTAGAATAAGGTTTTTGGGCTATAGTCATAGTATGGTTATACCAAGGAACCCCCCCAAGAATAATATTGGCAGCCAGGCCCTGACTGCCGGCTACACGACCGCAGCCTGTCCTGTGCGACGATCTGACCTTGTTCTATCTTATCTTGTCATATGGGTAGTTGTCAAAATTGGGGTCCCTTTTTGGGTACCCTAAATACTAGGTGCCGTATTATAATAAGGACCCCAAAAGGGACCATAATTTTGACAACCACCCATATATTCTGTGAAAGCATTCACCAGCTTTTCTGGTTAATAAGCGTTGCTGCAGTCTCTAGTTGCGCTTAAAATTGAGGCCCATGTCTGTTTCGAGTAGCGGGGAGCAGCATGGGGCTTCCAGAGACGTCAACCCTGAACCCCAAAGCGTAAACCCAAAATGACCCTAAATCCTTCAACCTTGGAACTCTAACCCTTACAGCTCAGCAGGGGGGTGTGGGAGCGGGTCATGACACCGACCGAGCCGGCGAATGCCAAGGAAGGTGCCGCTCCCAATAGAGGGGCCTTAATAATTAGAATAATGAGGGTTGTGGGGTATACTATACTATTATAGTGATAATGGGGAACCCCCAAAGTAGTATTGGTAGTTATTTAGGCCCCTATAGTACAGAGAAGGAGCACGGCGACAAGTGGAAAGCGAAATGAGGCTCCAAAGGAGTGAAGAGAGAACAGTGCTGGTCTGACTACAAAAGCACTACAAGGCGCCTGGCAGCGATGGAAAGGATCGCAATGATCCGGACGGGCACGGCTCCGGAGGGGTGGCAGCAAAAGAGGGCGGGAAAAAATCTGGGCACGCTTGACTCCTTCAGCTGGTCATGCTAGGATGCCATCCTTGAAGCCGTAAAAAGCCCTCATACAAACCCAAAAACCTCAAAAACCCTCAGCGGTAGAAGCTCCAGGCGGGTCGAGACTCGTGAGAGTAAGCCTTTGGCTGCGTCTCAAGGTACGACAACTCTGTTACAATGGAGGCACCTCAGTAGTTCTATGAGGTTTTCAGGCATATTAAGATATCTTTTCATGAATTTTGTAGGGACCATGAGGGTAGTTTTTCATAGTGATTTATCCGACCTCATGTGCAATCGGAGCCTCGGAAAGGGTTTCGAGTTTAGGATTTGGGGTTTCAGGCTCCCTTAGGCCTGAAATTCTGCAGTTCTTCGAACTTGGTGATAAAGTTTAGATTGTTTTCCGGCGGCCGGTTGTTGCTGTCGTGCACCTGAAGAGGAAGGACTCCTGGAGCCAGAGCATCGCATGCTCATTACCATGCGGCAACATGGGGCTTAGCTTGGGACCACCGACGGACAGTCTCGGCGTGTGTGGAGGGTGTTCGGTGGTAGAGGTATATTGAGGTTTGTGTGTACAGGGCTACATAGGCTATATAGGGTTCCTAGGGATGTTGGCGGGCGTATATGTAAGGTGTCCTGATGGGTTTACTTGTAGATACAACCTAACTAGTACCTGGCTTCGCAGCCGGGCGATCATGCTCATCCGGAAATCAGGGCATCGATGGTGACCATGGCGGCAATCATCCTGAAACATCCCCAAACAGAAAAAGGGATCGCCACTCAACCGGAAACCCGAACACCCTCAACCCGAAACTACACAGTAAGCACCAAGCGTCACACGCAAAGCAAAAGCAGTCACAAGAATGATAAGAGTCAGCAGTGTTGAGAAATTGGCAAGATCTAAAACCATGGAAAAATGAAAAGTACAGCATTGCCCCCAGGCCGGAGCCACATGTCCAACAGGTGCTTGTTGCACTTTAGGGCCTTTAGGGTTTAGGATTCCTGGGCCTCTGGGTTTAAACCGTGTTTGTTAAAGGGGTTGAGGGTTTTTGAGAGTGTGCGCTTCAGGAAGGTAGGTCCAAAACCCTAAACCTCTAACCCCTAACCCCTAAACCCTAAACCTCTAACCCCTAACCCCTAAACCCTAAACCCTGTTAGAGCCAGGGCCTCAGGGTGTAGCATGGGTTTCCGACGTGCGGGCCTCATGATCGTTCGATGAGTTTTAATGTGCCGCGGTCGGAATAAGTGGCAGCAGTATCCTAAGCCCTACATCCTCAACCCCCCATAATCTTTTCTTTGTAGTGATACTTCGATATACCCCCAGATGCTATTAGAGTCATTTGGGCCCCCAAAAAACCCTCAGGGTCCATGGACCTACACCGTACAAGCTGTCGCCTGAAAGACCTTAAGTTCCTTCATGTATGTGTATATATGTATATATACATATGTATGTATATATGTCATATAAATATATATATATATATACACCCTATGTAAGTACCTGAAGGCTTCGGAGTTACGTTCTGAGGGTTTGTATAAGGCTTTGGAGTCTTTAGGTGTGTTTGGCTTTGGTGGCTTTAAAGCCTTGATTTTCTGGACTGTCGGGCCTCGCGCTTTTAGACTCTCTGGGCCCCCACGCAGTCGTAGAAGCGACTTTGCAACCTTCTGCACCAATCCCCACCAACACAGCAGTCCGCTTCGTGTCCCTTAAGCTCCAACGATGCACAATGCTCGCTGGCAGTTGGCCAGTCAGCAGTTCGACTCCAACGCTCCTTGGACATTGCTTGGTACTTCTTAGCTTCAGTTTGCCATTGTGTTCACACCAATACATTCTTATGTTTGTGGAATTAGTACACATGCTGCCTCTAGCGCAACATGCAACATGAACATATTGGCGTGTTCGATGAGGACTAAGTTTACCTGCGAAATCCGATTATCTAATCATCTCTCTGCATATATAGCAACGCTGCTACTGGGATGTTCCAACGCATACATCAGAAGGCTGAGCCTCCAGCATGAATCCTAAGCAAGTACAGGGCTTTAGGGTTTAGGGGTATTGGGTATTGATGAGGGTAAGTGGCTGAGTCTGTTGTACTGGGGCCTGCAATGCCAAATCATGGTGGCAGTGCTAGTCACGAAAGCTCGCGTAGCAGAGCTTGAGTTTAGTCTTGCCGTAAGGCAGGGAGGCAGTCCAGGGCCAGAAACCAGCGTAGTATTGATAGTATCAATTTAGGGGGGGGGGGGGGGGGGGCTAAATTGAACGGTTCATACGAAAGCCTGTGTTTTG